CGACATAATTGTTCTAGGAAGAACATTTGATCAACACGTCGAAAACTTACGGGAGATCTTCACAAGACTTCGGGTGGCAAATTTAAAGCTGAACGTTAAAAAGTGCAGGTTATTTTGTAAAGATGTTAACTATTTGGGACATATGGTATCTTCAGATGGAGTTCGAACCGATCCCAGCAAGATAGAAATTGTGAAAGACTGGCCAACTCCAAAGGATAAAAATGAATTGCTCAGTTTTCTGAGATTGGCAACGTACTATCGACGTTTTGTAAAGGATTTTGCAAAAGTTGCCAGACCTCTCTACCAACTTACCGAGAAGGACCGAGTTTTCAACTGGAATACCCTATGCGACTCAGCATTTGAAAAGTTAAAAGTTGAACTATGTGATGCTCCTTTGCTAGCATATCCAGTTCGTGGCAAGACGTTCGTGTTAGATACTGATGCAAGTAACAACGGAATTGGAGCCGTTTTGTCACAGCATATAGACGGAGAAGAAAAGGTGCTAGCGTATTATAGCAGAGGATTCACAAAGCCCGAACGAAACTATTGTGTGACCAGGAAGGAGTTACTAGCAATAGCCAATGCAACAAAACACTTCCACAAGTACCTTTATGGACAGAAATTTCTTCTCCGAACTGATCATGCAGCGTTAAGATGGCTCTTCAACTTCAAGGATCTTGAAGGACAGATGGCCCGATGGTTGGAGTGTTTACAAATGTACGACTTCGAGATCGTGCACCGCAGAGGAACAACTCATAGTAATGTTGATGCTCTCTCACGTTGACCATGTTTACCAGGATGCAAATATTGCTGTCGTCACGAGAAGAAGATACAATCGGAAGACATAAGAGCAACAACAATATCAGCGGATGACGGTTGGACACCGACGGATCTTGCTGATGCACAGTTTGCGGATGAAGACCTACAACATCTGATCACATGGAAGAAGGAGGGCAAGCGGCCGGACTGGCAAAGCATTTCAGAATATAGTGCCGTGTTAAAGGGTTATTGGGCTCAGTGGGACTCATTGTATTTGGAAGGAGATTTGCTGAAACGAAAATGGGAATCAGCTGATGGATCAAAACACCGCATGCAAGTTGTAATACCAAGAAATAGAACGACCGAAATCCTTGATGAAATGCATGGCGGCCCTTCTGGGGGACATTTAGGAGTGAACAAGACCCTTGACAAAATACGAGAAGGATTCTACTGGCTTCACGTTAGAGAAGATGTAGAGAGCTGGTGTCGAAAATGTAACACATGCGCTTCAGTCAAAGGAAGGCTAAAAGGAGCAATGCAAATCTACAATGTTGGTGACCCCTTTGAACGGATTGCTATAGATATTGCTGGATCCTTTCCGGTATCGGATTATGGAAACCGTTACATTCTGGTTGTAGCGGACTATTTCAGCAAATGGCCTGAGGTGTTTCCAATACCCAACCAAGAAGCATGTACCGTCGCTGAGGAAATTGTACTCAATTGGATTAGTCGATATGGTGTCCCATTGGAACTCCACTCAGATCAAGGTCGAAATTTTTAGTCACAACTTTTTGGTGAAATGTGCAAGCTGCTGGGTATAAACAAAACTCGAACGACACCTCTTCACCCACAGTCTGACGGTATGGTGGAACGATTTAACCAAATCCTGATTGAACATCTGGCTAAAGTAGTCGACGAAAATCAACGGGATTGGGATCGTCATATAAGATTGTTTCTTATGGCATACCGGAGTGCTATCCACACAACTACTGGAGAAACGCCATCAAAAGTTCTGTTTGGGACTACCTTAAGAACTCCAGCTGATGTGAAATATGGCGTACCACCTGAACCACACCAACCATTAACAGAATACGTGAATAATCTTCGACAGCGATTAAACCATATCCACCGTTACGTACGCCTTAAAATTATGAAAAACACGGAGGCGGCCAAAACCAGATACGACTTGAAAGGAAGCAGTGGCGGTTTTGCTGTCGACGAGTTAGTTTGGCTGTACAACCCACAGCGAAAGAAAGGACGTTCTCTAAAGCTCCAGCGAGGGTGGGAAGAACCTTATCAAGTCATCACCCGCTTGAATGACGTCGTCTACCGTATCCAAGAATATCGGAAGCCGAGAGCAAGAATGAAGATCGTTCATTTGGATAGACTGGCTCCGTACCATGCGGACACCGGAACGAAAGCTGTTCGGGACGAACAGAACTAAGAAGGGGGTAATGTTATAACCGTGCTACCGAACGCACTAGATTCTAGCGTATTCTAGAATGTTCTAGTGACTGGAGCATTCTAGAGTATGCTAGAATCGCACCATCTAGAAGAATCTAGAAACGACGCTTGCGAAGAGTATATAAGCTCATGTCGCAAGAAGATTCGTGATTAGTGAAATTCGTGATTTTGTGAATAGCGATTCGGTGAATTATTTAAAGCGATATTTGATTTGTTTGTTGACGTTGTCATAGCGATAGATTTTGAACAATTTAAAAGTTAATTGTTGCGTTAGTTTGAATTTGCTGGAAATAAACGATTAGTTGATTTCTTCTATAAATAAAGTTTAATAACTAATAACTGTTTGGAGTATTTTATTCAATCGAAGATTTGAACCCGTCGCATCGTAAATCGGTTACGACAGCGAGTATTATAACAATATTAAAGAACAAATTTACAATTTTAATTAAGACAAGGGAATGTTAGTCATGCCTCTGCAACAAAGTTTAAAAACCTCACGTCATAAATATTTAGCAACAAATAATTAGTCTCAGTTTTACATAGAAACTGTTCTGACAGATGTGTCGAGTGTAGTTTAACTTCTGTAAAGCATTGTCCGGGTGCATTGAATGGTTGCGTCGCCATCAATCATTTGATCCTTATCTCCAGTTTAACTCGCTCCATCATCGACAACATCGTCCTGTAATTAGGTTATGTTTTTAGTTCAAAACCTCGTTAATTGTACGAAAAGGAGGTTTGAAGTTTTTAGAATAATTGCAAATGAATTTCTAATTTTAAAAAATAAACCCGAAAGGTTTGTGTCTTAGAAAAACTTGAATATAAAACAAAAAAGACGAACGGTGAAAATGAACAATTTTAAAACGATGAATAAAGAAGTACAAACGTATCGAAGTCAATGACCAAAATGTTTTGGAGTTTGAAAGATCTGGTGGCATCATAATGCAGAGATGGAGTGCAGTGCTTGTTCTGTTGCGTTAATATAATTCGACTGCATCTTTCCTGGTGGAGAACATGCAGTGAATGATGCATGCACGCAGTCGTTCTCATGATGGAAAAGATGCAATGAATGAGGTGCATGCATGCATGCATGCATGCGGTCGTTCGTTAATGAGTACCTGCTTGCGATTTAAGAAATGATTTATGTTCCTCCTCCGTGTTTATAGGAAACTGTAATTGTGGGCGAAGCAGGCCGGGACGTGCATCAGTCGACCGACACTCAGGCAGTACACTCAAACGTCCACATGTACGCACGAACATACACACATTCACACACACCAAAACACAAACAACACACACACACACCCACACACACCCACACACATGCAATACAAAGCACAGATTCCTTAATAATGCTCCATATAGAACTACGAAGCACCGCACTATGCAATAAGTTGCCAGGTAGGTCCGTAGGTATGTAGGTAAGTGGGTCGGTAGATGGTAGATAGGTAGGTAGGTAGGTAGGTAGGTAGGTAGGTAGATAGGTAGGTAGGTAGGTAGGTAGGTAGGTAGGTAGGTAGGTAGGTAGGTAGGTAGGTAGGCAGGCAGGCAACCAGGTAGTTAAGTAGTTGAGAGGGAAAAGAAAAATAAACATTTCTTTGCAATCCTATTCCATCACGTACATAAATTAATCAATGAAACAAGAAAACTAAAAAAATGAACAAATTTGATTAATTTGTGCTTTCAGTCGTGCAAATATGCATACGAAATCAAAGAGTGTACTACACTGAACATGCACTTTCACACACATCCAATTATACATTCATGCATGTGGGTACATGCATTTAAATTGTTTTGTCCTCACAAGATAAATGTTTTAATAAACATATGTTACAAGATAGATATCTTAATAAACATATCTATAATTGTTTGTAGATTTTCTTAAAAATTTAAAACAGCTACCAATTGGAAGATTGTTGATGCAGATCCACGTAAAAATTTTCACGGACCAATTGAAATGGTTATTTATATTATAGAAATCTTCCCTGTTAAATTAAGAAACTCAAAAAAAATTATAATCTGGACGGCCGGCTATGTTGCCATTTAAAAAAACATTTGCTTAGAAAAATTTTCTCAAAATTTTCATGAGATAATGACCAGGCAAGCAGTCTAATGAATGTATGTTCCTTCCTACATGCACATTTGAAAATTTTCACTGGCTTTCTCTGCCTGCAAAAAAGGCGAAGATAAATATAAATACGCTCTCCCATGCCCGCGCGCGTAGTCATGAATGGAGCAGAGACAGACCAGTATGCTTTGCAGCGTGTAATTTTCAGGCACTCGCCACAAATGTCCACTCCTCTTTTAAATATTCACAAGCTCCTTTGGAGATCATTTGTCAACAAGATGCAATCCTTATAACATTTTTGGTATTCTTCTTCTGGTTTGCATTCGTTTGTTTTAGATTATTTATCATTGATGTGTGATGACGAACGAACGAATCACAAACATAATTGAAAAATTCAGTCTGATAAATTTTAATTCTTCATTGAAATGTAATATTTTTCATTAATTCTTTATTGAAGTGTAACATTTTTCTTAGCTGAAAGAACCTAAAGTTTATTATAGCCGTGGAATGCATTTAATTAACAGTTTCTGAATGGTCGTAAATCGCCATAATAGAACTGACTGGCAGACTCGTCTTCCCATTTGATATATAGATATATTGATAAAAAAATGCACACAGCACACACATACACATAATATACATGCTTACACACATGCTTGAAAATTTTAAACTTATCACCCAAAGGCTAAATATCATCAATAAACATGATGCAATGGTCCTTCTATTACAAGCTGCTTTTTTGCCTCGTCTTGTTTATTTTTTGAGAACATCCCCTCTGTTGGATGTTTCGATCCTCAATAGTTTTGACGATCACCTCCGTGACGCATTCCAGTCCATCTTCAACATAAAACTCGATCAAAAAAATTGGTTGCAGGGGACGCTGCCTATATTTGTTGGTGGCCTGGGTTTGGGTTCCGCGGCTGAGCTGGCACCTTCTGCCTTTTTGGCTTCTGCTGCTGCCACGGTGGCCCTCCAGGATCTGATGTTGCCGAGGGATGGGATTTATGTCGATAACTTCAGAATGCAAATATACGACATGTGGCGCGCCACCAACGGAGATGTGGTTGCGCTCGAAAACCCCTCGCAAAAACATTGGATCGCCCCCTGTCTTAATAGATCAGTTGATCGATGGCTGCAACTGAATGGCTCTACTTTTGACAAGGCTAGAATTATGGCTGTCAAAAGTGAGTTGGGCTCCGCCTGGTTGAGAGAGCTACCCAACACCTCCTGCGGCACTAGATTGGATGACTCCTGTGTTCGCGTGAGCCTTGGTTTGAGACTCGGAGCCCAGATCGTCACCGAATACGAATGCGCATGTGGGGCAAGGGTTGATGAACTTGGATACCATAGCCTTTTTTGTCGTCTAGGTCCTGGAAGACAAGCCAGACATACGGCTGTCAACGAATACCTGGTACGATGTTTTCAAAAGGCTGGTATCCCGGTTATTAAAGAACCCATGGGTTTGATAGAGGAAGGAGCCTTTAGACCTGATGGTTACACTATCACCCCATGAGCTCAGGGACGGTCCCTGGCTTGGGACGTTACCTTACCCCACACTATGGCTGACCGATATATTGGCTACACTTCAGTGGAGGCGGGCACTGCTGCCCTTAAAGCGTCCGATTTCAAAAATGAAAAATACGTTTCATTAAACAATTTAAGCAAAATATTTCAACCCATTTGCATTGAAACGTTCGGACCAACAGATAAGCACACATTATTAGTTATTAACGAATTAACAAAAAAAATAGTTAATATAACGGGTGATCCTAACGAAGGCAATTATTTAAAACAAACTCTTTCACTGTTATTACAAAAATTTAATTCCTTTTGCATACTGGATGGAGCTGCTAGATACCTGACTGTGCGAGACCAGGGACATAGATAAAAGTTGAACTCGGAAACGATTGCATGCCTAACCATGGCTTGTTCATCAAAACGGGTTCATACTTACACACACGCACACACACACACACACACACACACACACATATATATATATATATATATATATATATATATATATATATGTATATATATATATATATATATATATGCATATACATATGCTACATTCTAATATAAAGAAATGGATTGCATCGAGGTGTTTGTGAATTGTGCATTTAAAAATGAACCACCATCAGTGGGTGAATTTATTTTCAATAAGCACCCGTGTGATCAGTCATGCTTATAATGTGCACGAAATTATTTATGTTCTTATTTGCATATACTTATAAATCAAATTTTATCAGCTTATACGTGGCCATCACTCAAATGAAAAGTTTTTTGTTATTTTGATCAATAAATTCATTCCTAATCCTTTTCATATTTGTAGTTAATTTATATTTCTAATCATCTCACCTACCCTTTAAAAACATTTTTACACACCCTTCTTAAAATTTTTAAATGACAACGAACAACGAAATTAAATTTATATTTCTTTGAACTACTTCTAATACAAATGTTTGTACTGAAAAAATAAAAGTTTACAATTGAATTTTTGTCATTTGTTCATTAAATTACTTGCCTTCTTTGAACATATTTCTAATCTGTAGTCCGAAAAGTTTTCACTTCATTTCATTGCACAAGTAGTTAATGCAGAAGTAGAACAGCACCGAAGTTTAATCATTGTGCCGTGATGAAGTGAGAATAAGATTCAATAACAAAAATACTCCAGGTAATTTGCAACTATTCCAAATGTTCACTTCTAAACTAATTGTATGTGAACGCATCACATGAAGCCCGCACTTAATTGCACAACAAAAACTTGGTTCATCCCAATTGACTAACACAAATAAGTGCATGTTGAGCTTTGAGAAAATTTTTCCTGAATTTTATAATAATACCGAACTCTGGAATTATTGGTAGTAGTGGTTTTATTTCTCATCATTTATTAAATCTAAACAAGATGGTACAAATTACAATCGTGTTTAGAGATTTTGGACAAAAATGAATAAAAATGACTTTGCTCGCCAGACCTTTAGGAACGTGAAAATCTTCAACGTGTGGGAATAAAAGATAAATTTTTAAAAATTTCTCCAACGGCGCAAATTCCGTTTCAATCTACCACTGCTTGCTTCTTTTTTATATATAAAACTAAACGTTAGTATGAAAGTTTTGGTGTGTTTAAATACATTTTTTAATGTTAACGTTGTAAAAAATAAATTTATAATTTATACTTGAGTAGATTTATTGTGTAGATTTAAATAATTAATTATTTAAACAAATAACTATAATTATTCAATTTAATCTTTTAAGAGTTTGCAAGTCTGTATAAATAATTAAACAAAAAGCGAAAACATCACAATCATTGATAAAGTTGTCTGTGATGTCATCAACATAGTTCAAACGGTTGTATATCTGAATCTGTTGACAAATCGACTGCACGACTTTACGTTACAATATGATAAACTATTATTGAAACCGTTCTTTTTATACTGAAATATAAAAAATTTCAAGTCAAATCGGCGTTGAAACTAACAGTACCAAAGTGACAACACACGCAAACATATTCCACAATATAAACGTTCACAACAGATGCTTTTTCATCCTTTATGCATTATTTTGCAGTTAAATTGAATTCTAACGATTTCAATTTTTAGGAAGAGAAAATATCCTTGAAAGCATGGGTGCTTAAAGACAGCTGAATTATTTGATCCTCGCGCCACGCTGCACATGCTGCAAAGCATCAAAACGTTATTCACCACTCAATTATTCACAACAGAAAATAAAAATCCAGAGAATTTTAACAAAAATAAAAAAATTATCGCTGGGAACACGCCGATGTAGACACAAACTAACCTTTCCCCGTACTTTATAATTGCTGTGAGTTGCTTCCATTTCTAGCATTAAACTTTCATTAATAAAAGCAGACAGTTTACAATTTACGACTCCGACGTTCAACGAATCACTCGAAGAACCAACAAAGAAACCCTCCAATCAAACACGGAGATGAACAATTACTAAGTTCCCATTGCTAATTTATCAACTAACTTCTAGTGGTATACAAGATTTCATTCCGATAGGCAGTTTTTGTGAATTACAAAAGTATTCAACGAAATTTTATTCCGGCGCGAATAATTCGTTATTGTTTCCCAAATAAATTATGACAGAAGATACTGCTTAGCTAACACACCTACTGCAACATTAAAAAAAAAATTTTAATCTTTGAAAAGATTAAAAAATGTTGGTAGCACACTTAGAGTAGTGAATAATAAACATGTTGCTCGCTGTTATCACTTTGTTCGGAACTACTTCAAAAATTATATGAATTTTAAACTTAAGAAGAAAATAATTTTGCGTCTTTCAAAATTTTGTTCGTTCGATTAAAGCATCAAATGAATGCCACAGCAGAATTTTCATCAGCACTTCAAATTGTTCAAAATGTCATTCTCTGATTTTTTTTCTAACGGAGTTTTCAAGTAACGTTTTTATTTATTTAAAGTTATGAACAAACGTAAAACATCGCAAAAAAATTGTATTCAACAGTGACCACAATATTTTGAAATAAACGAAATAAATAGGAAACAAAATAAATAGAACGTAAGACATGTAAGGACAAATATGATAAAATAAAAGTTCAATCGAGCGTTTACAATAATAACATGATGGCTTTGTAAGGCACTTGCCGATCCAATACTGGAGTTTGAACGGTCAACAGCACTCGCTAATTAAACTGCGGCGACAGTGGCGATAGATAAGTGGTGACAGTCCGCTAACGTTAAAAGCTCTATTGATACTATCAGTGGAAAAGAAAATTCAAATACGAGAAACTCAGTTTGCAAACATCAAAATAAAGTGTTCCATTTACAAAATGTGTTTAAGGAAATGTATTGCAGTTCGAATTATAGAATAATAACGGTATTGATAATGATGATAGTGGTGGTGATGATGATGATAATCTTGGGGTGATGATGATGATGATGATGATAATGAAAAAATTGTAAGGTTGCAATATAATACACAGCCATCAGACCAAGATGAACAACTCAGACATAGCCAGGCTGATTGGTAATTGAGAAGAAATCCAACTTCTGTGGACTTGATCTGTGGACTTGATCTGTGGTTCTGATCAATCCGCCAGTCACTTTATAAATTCTACATGTAACAGAAATTTTAAAAAATTGAAAAGACGATGGGAAAATAATTTTGAATTTTCTGGTGAAGAATTTCAACTTAGCATTTCAACAAAAGTAGGAAAAGAAAGTCATGATTTGAGAAATGATTGAACTCATCTGCGACGATAATCTCGTGATGGATATTATTAGCTGAAACCTGCTACGAGAAAAGAACATGATAAAACCATTATGAAATGACGTAAATAAATCAATAAAAATTAATTTAAAATTATGATAAGATAAATAAATAATTCAATTCTGCTTTTTAAAAAATATATAAAAATAATTCAACAAAAAATTAAAAAAAAAAATATTAATGTTTGATAATAATCGCAAACCCCCAAAAAACTATACGGCGCTATAAAAATGTATAGCCTCAACAAATCAACATTGATATTGAATATATGCCGATACAAAGACAAACCAGCAAACAAACGGATGAACAACTGAAATTTGAGTGATAATATAAAACCGTACCGTTTCGTATTTAATATAATGTCTCCTTCGTATTCGTAAGTAAACAAGAAAATGATGATGATAACAATGCAGATTTCAACATTTGACATGACAAGGTAATTGCTGATTAGTATAATGAAATATAAAAACATTAAGTGCTATAAAAATTGCTCGTGTGAATGTTATTTTGTTAACATTTGTTAACCTCTAAATGACATTCTTAATGTTATTCAGGTTGATGATGTATGCTACCGACGATTACTAATTGATCAATGATAATATTCAAACACCATTTCAATAATAATAATAATTGCACATGCACGTACATATTGCATGTGTAATAAATAATTGTAAAATAGACCACTCCAACAGATCAATGCTTTCTTTGACTTCAAAAACAAAAAAAACTTTAAATTCAATTTTTCAGTTCAGATCGGAGATTAATACACATACAAACAAACGAATAAAACGATGAGACAAACGACTATTACAAGGAGAATGCAACAGCACACATCAATCAATCAGTTAATTAACTAATTGATTAATTAATTAATTAACTAATTAATACATAAAAGTTAATACATCTTTTAAAATCAGATAGTTAGGAGACAAAAACTACATCCTATCTTCAACTAAATCTAATGAGTAAAAACGAACTCAATTTTTAAAAACTAAATACAAGAGTTAAAAACAAATACAAATAAATAAATAAATAAGTAATTACAAAAATAAAATGGACAGTTCACACCAATATTCAATATTCAACTCAAAACGCTGCAAATGAAAGTACAGAAAGTGAACAGGCAAAGAGAGACATAATAATTTCTTCATCTCTCATAAATGCAAATTTGTTGGACTCAAACTTTCAAAGCAAAATAATTCATCAGAAGAATACAACTGAATCACGTTCGCTCAAATATAGAACATACACGCATGCAAACATGATGCAACAAACAAACACACACACACAGACACGCATATATACAAGCAAATAACGTGAACAAACGTACAAACGTACCAACGCGCACAAATGAATTATAAAACGCATACACATACAAATAACAAGAAAGACAAAGAAATGGTGGACATCATAAAAAGTTTTGGTGTCCCTCGGCGCCAGTGAAGAGGACATCTATCCAGATCCTCATGGCGTCCGAGCTGGCAGCCACAAAGTAGTACATGCGATCGAACGTCTTCAAACAAAACGTCAGCTGCGGTGTCGGACTGTTGACCTGCAGAGAAAATTTGAGAAATTTGACGATTTGCTAACATTTTAATTGAAACGTTATGAAATGTTAAATCTTGAATGCCACAAAATAACTAAAAATAAAAAGTCGTTTAATTGTTTGGAAATTTTTATAAATACGGTGCCTCTCAGCGGTGACCAAGTGTTAAGTACAGCTTGAAATACAAGCATTCAACAAGAAATTTTAACAGCTAAGAAAAGCTTTGCATGTTAGCTGAGAAACTGAACCGCTTGAGCGGTAGCCCAAGCTAGCAGGTTCAACGGCTGATGCACGCTATTCAAAGTTTTCTAAATATTTAAATGTGTCTGCTGAATGTGTCTAAACTAAACACGTGCGATGTGAATATAACCGACAAGCAGCTTCTATGATGCAAACTACTATTGACTCATTAATTGAAGTATGAAATGCAATCAAAATGTGCAGTATGTAATTGACTTTGATGGAGATGATTAGTTAGGCTACCTGGTGAAGATGGTCGACGAAGACATCTTCAATGGATTGGAAGTAGATGATGTTTCGAGGGGGCTTGCTCTCCTTCGAGTCAACATAGTAGGACAAGCACTTCTTTGACCGATCAAAGACGAACCACCTCTTCTTCCAGGACCTCATCCTCCCACCGAGCCCTTCCGTCATCTTCGTCAGCAACCCCCTGCAACTCGATGACGTCATCATCACGTGACGACACTGATCGACGTTGTGGCCGCAGGAGGTGATGAAGGTTACGAGGTCGAGTGTTGGGTCTTTCGTTGGCAAGTATCTGGTCAGCGGTCGGTTCTGTGAAACGCGGACATATTTAATATGAATTATTTAAAGACACAATTCTATGAAATATTTCTTTAAAGTTGTTTATGAATTTTAAAAAAATTTGACTAGAATAATTCGAAGAAACGCTGAAAAATTTGATGATAAGTTAAGGATCATTAAAATGCTACAATCAGTTTTAAAATTATGAAGTAATGTAACCCTATTGTTCAATCAAAATTTGAAGCAACATCACAACTTGCGTTCCACAAATAAATGTTCATCCAAAGTTCAACAGTAAGATTTAACTTGAGAAAATTTAACTTCGGATGATAAAAAAACATATTTTCTAATAAAAACCGTAAAGAAATAGAGTTTGATATACACTTCAATGTGGTATGAATATGAAACAACAACGTAAATGTTAAATACATGATAAAAAAAATACCAAACGCCAAACAGATGCAAACATTTTAAACCTGGTGCTTATCAAGAAGATTATCAGACCAGGTGTTGTTGGCGTTTCTTACAGTTGCTAAGGTTGTGGATGATGTTGAGGAAGAAGTCTGTGGTGGAACTTTCTTGTGGCCATCGACTCGATCAACATCATCCCCTTCCATCTTCTTCTTTTTCTTCATTATGATCATCATCATCATCTCTGCTTCTTTTCTCTTCCTCCTCTCCTCCTCCAACAACTCTAGCTCCTTCTCACGCTGCTGTTTCTGTTGTGTCATGTCATACGGTGTCATGGTATGTGACGTCATGTCATGTCATGTCATGTGACGCAATGTGATCAAATGTCATGTCATATAACAATGCAGTTAATGCAACGTACTGTAGCGTAGGAGGATAATTGATGCAATTTCACGCTTATATCAACACAACAATTATTATTATAGAATAGGCGTTTTGCATTTACGCATATATATGTGAAATGTGCATAGATTCATCCATTCATTCATACACCTTTTTTTCTTACAATATCAAATTTATTTATATAACAACTTTTATTAACAAGCATACATTCTTTAATGTAAGCCATCAAAGAGAAAAGCCATAAAGAGAAAATGCAAGTAAAAAAACATAATTTGTGTTATGTATGGCGAAATGGTTGATCTGAAAAAGAATATAAATGTGTCAACAAGCATCTAATATGAACCTAATCTACCAACACCCTCCAACATTCACCGCATGCAGATATAAAGTGAAGCAATCGGGTAGATAAAACCCCCAGCAATGTATAAAAATACATTCGTAATAATCCATTAAGTCGCTAAACCATTTAATTATTCATTACATTATTTTACATTCATTACAAATTATTTTCCTCTGAACGACCAGCTAACCAGGGCCAAACAGCCAACTATAGAGATAAGATAGCCTTGTTGAAACAGTTCTCACGACAGTGACCAAGCATAGAACCGTCATAAGAAAACAACAAAAATGAACCACAACTCACCAAACAAGCTTCCATGTACTAGCAGAAAACACATACACACACAAACAAACAAACAAACAAAAACAAAATAAAACAAAAAACAGACCTGGCTCTCAATAAGTTTAATCTTTTCAGCACGAGCCAGCAGCAACTGGCACTCCATATCTTTGATCTTCTCCATCTGTTCTTCTCTGCTTGACAGACTGCTGTTCATAAAATAGGACACCACATTTCAATACGAACAATTAAACATAGGTTATTATTAAATACATTACTATAAAAGAAGTATTAAAATATTTAAGAACTAATAAGAAACGGGTTCAACCTTATTGCCTTATCGGAGTGGTTTTCTGATTCGCTGGTTGAATCTTCTGTGTCAGATGTGCCAGCCAGCCAGGAAGCAGTTTTGTGGGCCAAACCTCTGCTTGGTGAGACTTTCGACCAATCACGCGAGGTCATTTTGATTGGGGTGATCATGGAACTTTTGGCTTTCGATGGGTAATGATGGAATCGTTTTTCTTCTTCATACAAGTTCATTGCTGTAAATAAGTGTTTTCACAAAATGATGAAATCTTATTATAAAACAAACATTTTCTGGTACTTTTGCGGTACAGAAACAAAATTTCCCCAAGAAAACAACAGAAAATAATATCCTAATGGTTACAAATAAAATAACAGCGAAGCTGATGGTACACAAAATTTTTAAAATAATGACAATGATGATGGCGGCGATGTAAAATGGTGATGTGTGTGATGAAAATGATGATGTTACTGATGGCAATTACGATGATAAAAATAATAAACCAAAACGAAGGACCATTAAAAAGAGGCGCGAACCTATACGATCGGCAGGACTGCTGTACTTGCTTCTGAGATGTTGGGGGTGATCCAATCGAGGAAGTGTCTGTGAGGAGGCCCTCCACCAGCCACCATCCAGTGTCGATGATAATGACGATGCTCCGATGTTGTTGTGAAGATGAGGAGAAGGATGATGAGGATGGTGATGAGGGTAGCGTGGAAGATCATCGAAGATGTTGAAATGGTGGCGGGGTGGGACGGGCTGAATGTTCAGTGGTGCCCGAGACAGCTAAAATAATTTTAATTCGAGTCATTAATCTTTCAAGCCTCATCGTCAAGACAACTATAAAAATGACCACCATGAAGAACGTGGTGAAATCACATTGACACGTCTGAATCATCTAATGCATGCCATCAACACCATCAATGAAACCAACTTACGGAACTTATCCTTTCCCTGGACATTCGATGCGTGGAAGCAAACTGGAGCAACATGTCCATCTGCTGATTGATGTTCATCAGAATGCTGTCCTCCTATTCTCGGTGTTGTTTGGTTGGATGGTTGGTTGGATGGTTGGTTGGTTGGTTGGTTGGTTTGTTGATGCAATCAGTTTGTTCAGTTATTTATGTATCAATAGTTATAAAGGTAACATTCTTCAAAACGGTGTTTTTTGGTTTATTAGAATTTATATGGTTTTATGTCTCAGTTATGTCTTTAATATATTGACTCGCTCATTGTTGACTCACTCGTTCAGGCACTCAATTATGTTTTAACTCATCCATTCATTCATTTATTCATTCATTCAGTCAGTCAGTCATTTTCTGATAAATTATTTAACTATTCATCCATCGTGCAATGAATCACTCCTTCCATTCATCCATAATTATAACATCAATCCATCATGTAACATGTACTTGTACATGTACATACCTTCCATCCATATTAAATATACACCGAAAATTGCATGTACATATATACAATCCGCCATATATACTTCCAGTACAAGCATTTATTTAATACAAGACCATTGAAGATGGCAAAGATTTATTTTAAAATGATAAATATATAATTAAGTTAATGATGAACTACATAAAATAGGACAAAAATAATTTTACAAAAACCATTGCAGCATATTGAACACATACACTCATAAACTCATACACATACTTACACACATACACATGCTTACACACATGCACACACGGACACACATAAATACACACACACAAACATGCACGCATACATACAACATGAAATTGAATTGAAGAAAAAAGGTGTGATAAATGATTTGTTGTTGGGTAGAAGTTGCTTAGTTGGCCTAGATGAAAGTTTAAGGGTAAACAAATGGAAACTGACACCTATCATCACTACATATTTGAATATTGAAATACAAAAATTCTATGAATCAGTCAAAAAAACAAATTAGAAAGTTTAAAAATATAATGCAAATAAAAAAAAGTAAACCTAAATTGACTAAACCTCAAAAAATACAATTAGACAAAATTGAATCAAACAAAATACAAATAAAAATAACAAGACATCATTCAAAATAGTTGGAACTCAAAAAAATTTAACATAAAAATATCGATTAAATAAATTTAAATTTCCAACAGAGACACAAACATAAGCAAGCATCAGTAGATCAACAACATAACATTAAAAGGAACAAAATAATAAACAAAAAAAAAACAAATGAACAAATAAACAAGACGAAGAACAAACGAACGAACGAACGAACGAATGAACGAACAAACAAACAAACAAACAAACAAACAAACGAACGAACGAACGAACGAACAACCAAACAAACAAACAAACGAACCTTCATGAATTGTTGTTGCAGCAGCTCCTTCCTACTTTGCATCTCATCAATGTCCTCATTCACCTGTCTCAGCAAGTCTGCCTGCTGCGATGCTATCTGGTCCAACGTCGTCTGGCGGAGAAATTTTATTAAAGTTTTGACCAAATTGAATAAGCTGTGTTACGAAACACACGCAGCTGCAAGGGACATTTATCTTTACTGTGAATAAATACATCTTATCATTTATAAATTTTTAACCATTTTAATTCATCACAATAATTTTTGTATTTAAACTTGTCATTATTGTGCATGAAATAATTTCTTTTTTTTATTTTGCCCTAAGAACTAGAAGTGAACCAGCTACATTTTCCATTTAGAAATGCATGATGCAAAATATATATATAAATGTTAGCAAATTTATTTTTCTAGAGAATACTTTTCACTGAGCAGATCTCATTATAACAATAGCAATAACGTATAAAAAATGTTGATATAATGCTAACGAGCAGTAATTCGTATTATACAGTAACAGTTGAATTATTATTAATCAATTAGTAGTATGATAAATAAATGTACTTTTACTGTTAATACTGATTCGAAATACGTTTTTAATCTGAAAAATTTTAGACAGGTGCATGAATTAAAAAGAACCTTTAAACCTGCCTGCACTGAGATGCATTTCAACGAACAACCAAACGAGAAAGAATGTGAATGCTTCTAACATAAACAAAACATAACAAACTTTGGAGATCAATTTTTATGAAAATAGGTCAGAGCATTTGAAAAATATCAATTGGTAAAATGTCTATGAGAAGAAACACGTATATAAACACACATACAATTACTCGAGCAAATACACACACACACACGCATACAAATCAACCGCTTTTTAGATTTTAAATTATTACAAATAACTTTTACAGGGTTGTTTAGTTCGCAGGATCTGATGAATGGAATAAAAAATCCGGATGGATAGAAAATTAATGGATGAAGACTATAAACAAGGATTGATTAATTGATTGCTT